TTCACTGGCAGATAGCTGATGTCATAAGGAGTAAATTAGGCTACTTTTATTTTAGAAAAAAAGAATTATCAATCCTCGCAAAAAAAATTTAAATCCTAAATTACACGCGAGCGAAGTCGCGGGGAACAGCAAGTACTGTATAATTACAACTAGTAAGTCATTGCCGTGTAGAAGCGATGTAGATAATCCATCACCTTATTTCGTCCTGTATATCTTAAGAGGCGTAATTATTTATAATTGTAAAAAAAAGGTAAAATATCTTTTTGGTTACCCAAAAAAAAATCGCAATTAACTGATTATAAAATATTTTTTTTAAAAAACTGAAGTGACAAACGGACAGCCTACCTGATATGAAGTGACTACTGCAGTCCATGGACACCCGGAGCTAACTTCAAAAAAAGAAGGCTGCAGTTGCGTTGTCACCTGTGAGGGCTAAGATGGAATGCCTCTTAGTCTGTAATTATACTGGCTCTCAATACACTACACATCGTAACGCAATAGTGCAAGCACTGCTATTTGGTGTCAGAAATAGTTAAGAGGGTGTTATCTACCCATATAAACTAGGCATAAAAGAAGTCTACAATATTTATTGTTTTTAATTTATTCATATTAATTATTATGTACATATTCGTGTTTAAAGAGTTTTTAGAAGAAATTCACCGCAAAATTTTAACGGAAACATATTTCTTAAAGCCGTTGCATAGTTCACTTGTGTCGATACCACTGGGCATCGCCTGGAGGGCCGGAGAGCCGTATTGTTTAGCCGATACGGCGAGTTCCTCGAAATGCCATATAAATTATTATCGGGCAATGTCAATAGGGACGGGACTGTAACTTTCTTTGATTGTGATATTAATGACACTTTAACGTAGTAAATATTCTCTTGTAAAAGTGCTTTCGACGGTATCGGATCATCTATTTAAGTAATTATATATCTTCAGATTCTTTCAACGATATAAATTACAATCGTCTGGATGCTCAATAAAATAGATGATTGCTTGCGCCCAATCTGAGAATATAATCTTAGTTTTGTCCTACGTTCTTCACAGGACACTGTCACCGTATTCAGTGTCTGCACTGCAGTGACGTGAAAATTAATTTTCCTACCCTGTCTTACCCTTATCGATTTACGCCAGATAAATTTTATGGTCATCAAAAGATGATTGGATCACAGTATCAAATATGCTAGGAAGTCTGGTATGACATCCAAGAAACCATGACTAAAAATTAATGAAAGGTTCAAGAAGAATCTAAATTTAAAAAAAAATGTTTCCAACCTCAAAGTCAAGCGTAACATTAATTGTTACGCAAATTCTTACTATAGCAGGTGATGCTCAAGTGGCAGCAGCTTTTTTTACGAAAGACGAAGATAATCATTATATTTTAGTTCCCAAAGGTGATAACGAACCTATAAACACCTTTTGTAGTTATTTGCGTGCCATGAGCAGTAGGCATTTTTCTACCGACTTCAAAAAGGAGACGGTACTCAATTTAACTGTTTTTTTATGTGTTTTTTTATTTGAGTTACCTCATAACTTTTTACTGGGTGGACCGATTTCGATGATTCTTTTTATTTGAAAGGTGGTGCTTAACAATCATGTTGTCCCATATATCTCTCTATCTGTCCAATGGTTTTTGAGTTATTCTTAATAATTTATATTGAAGTCGGCTGTACAAAATATTTAATTTTAAATTATATAGAAAATAAATTAGGTATAAAAGATTTTTATATAAAAAAAAAATTTGTTTATAGTTAAAAATTAATTGCTTACACCGGTATCACTCCTTCGATAGTAAATACGTGACATTTTCATACATTTACTACACGAGTTTTGTAATTTGTTGCAATGCTATTGTAACTGGTGAATATTGTCATTTGCAGATTGAGCAATGAAGAAATATTCTGTTATATTATTAGAACAGTATTTAAAAGAGGAAAAATATCCACTACCACATATCGTATCGAGGGTGTCGTAAGAGGCAACAGAGGAAAACAAACAAGGAGATGAGCATCAGCGTTTTCCTAATAACTACTAAAAATAAAAAATAAACTGCCGCCTGCCAAGCGTGGCAACTGTGGTAAATATCCCCCCAAGAGGAGGCTTATGTTTGGACAAAAAACCGGGCTAGCTTAAGGGTTAAACGTTCCTCGTAAATTTCACAGTATACGAGAGTTCGATCCCCTTGATTAATAGTTGCAGTTGTAAATGCTGATTTGTTACCTGCATCTATATAATAAAAAAATAATAGCATTTGGAAGACATATCGCCGCCAACGCGCATTGGGGCACCGCGACAGACACTTTGTTGCCCTAAAAACTCTCAGAAATGAGAGGAGGACTGTGCGCTCAGATCATAGAAACAACAGTTGTTCTCTGATCTGAGACTGTGTGAGACAGTGGGACGTATACAAGCTGTAATCAACTGACTACTCAAAAACGCAGATGTCTTCATAACAACCTATATTTTTTCGAATAGCAGCGGTTTTAAACGTTATTTATTGACATTTTTAAAGAATGCTTTTTATTACCAATATTTTTTTAAGTTGTCAATTTTCCAAATCAAAGGTTAGGGTGACTTCAACTATTTATATAATCTAGTAGTAAACTTGAATATAAAATTATAGTTAAATCTTGAAAAAAAATAGTAAATGGGTTACCAAAAGGAGCTACTTTAAGACCTTAAATATTTTTTTTATATCTCATTTATTTTGAATTTTTATTTTATTTAAATGTTTCAAACTATTTTTGTGATAAAGAGTTCATAAAGTAAACAATATTGATATGTAAGAATTAACTGTACAAATTACGGCATAGATGTACGATATCGATAAACATCGATATATCGATGTATCGCCACCACAGTACTGTGGTGTGAAGTTGTTTAGCAGCGGTACGTTCCGGTGTCGGCGTCGAAGGTTTTAATAACTCTTGAAAATCCATTATTATTTAGCGGGGGATAACAATTAAAAATGCATATTTCGTAGAGATGTCAGATGATTTGACAATGTGTGCAATACGAGTAAGTGTTGATTTCAGATTTGAAACGTTAGAGAGCAAGTTGTGGTTGTGATTACAGCACATCATGGATCATAGTAGTGACAACGCATCTGTCGCCATCTTTGTAAGGAATTTACTGCAGGTAAGCTGCAAAATACAAGTATCATCGGCTGGACTTTTGGCGCATTTGTCATTCTCATTTCATAAAAAAAAAATATTTTAGAAATATCAGAAAATGTATTTTAACAAAATAGAAGTTACAGTTTGCGGTTTCAGAAAATTTTAGATTTAATAGATACACAGTTACGTGGTAGAGCCATGCTGCATCTATATTATAGTTGTAGCACGAATGGGTCGGGTCAAACGAGCTTAGGACCACGCTCTCAAATTATACCTGAAATAGCAGCTAAATGCTGCTGTGTTTCGTATGGTGAGCCTAGAGAATCGGAGACTCTTTTTACTGAAAACGAGGCATTCCATCTTTGTCCTCAGAAGTGACAATACATCTGCATTTTGATTCTCAATCGAGTATAGATGCAGATGTCTATGGGTGACAGCATTCACTTGCCATCAGGTGGACTGTGTGTGTGACCCCCTTATTTTATTAAAAAAAGCCTGCGAGTCAGACTCGCGCAGGAATGCTTCCGTACCATCGTAAAACACGTTTCTCTTTAATTTTAGGAGAGCCTCTTTAATTTTAAAATTGTTTTTATTTTTATTATTTGTAGTTATAGCGGCAACAGAAACACACATTCTGTGAAAATTTCAACTATCTATCTATTACGGATCATGAGATACAGCCCGCTGACAAAGAGACGGACGGACAGCGGAGGCTTAGTAATAGGGTCCTGTTGGGTACGGAACCCTAAAAAGATCATATATTTAGACAGTCATAATGCGTATGTAATAGCCCCTGACGACAAAGATGGAATACCTCGTTTCCAATAAAAAAGTCGTTCACAGCAGCATTGAGCTTATATTTCACTCTAGTATATTGTGAGAGCGTGGTCCTAATCCCATTCGAGCCAATCCATTAGTGTTACAATCATAATATTGCTGCAGCTATATTACCGGCTGGGTTTCTTGCTGGTTCTTCCCAGGACAGAGGGTTTTTTTTCGAACCAGTGGTAAAGTAACTTATTGGTAATGCCTTTTAATAAGAATTACACATGTGATCTATATTGAATAAAAAATTATTCCATTCTATTATATTCTATTCTTACGGTTTGAGTGTTGAGCATATTTATGGGTTGATTTCCCAGCTTGCCCAGGATTTCCCAGGTTGCCACGTTGTATCTGGAGTCCCAAACAAAAATGAAACGTCTCGTTTCCATTTAAGTCCTCAGAGATTACTAGACACTCTAAGTTTGTTGGTTAAAAAAGTATTGGTTGCAGATGCCACATATCCATGAAGTTACTAGAATTTACTGTAAGTATTTGTATGGCCTACAAGTAATTGTTTCTGGTTTGGATGTTTGTCTTTGTGCAGTTTATGTTTGTAAACTGTCTCCACGAATCACGAGAAAATCCTAGGAAAAACGTGTAATTATTTTGCGACTGACCGCCGCGCCGCCCGGACGCTCTCGCACTCGCTACACATGTACCTATGTTACACTCCTTTGCACTAAATTCAGACATATGACTATAATAACATACAATATATTATACCCTAAACCAACACTATAACACAAGTCTATGTACCTACGTTATAAAAAGATCATTTGTCAAATTAGTGTCTTTTTCACCAGCCCTTAAATGTCCGTGCAGTTTGGGTCATAAATCATCGGAGTATTTCGCTCATAGGGATTGAGGAACGCACTACTAGAAGTTTTGCACCTTTGATGCTGTTGTCTGTCTGTCAGTCCGGGTATCGCCCACCTATCGTAAGTCATACGATTTTTTGGCACATTTCATAGTCGCCTCTTAGCTCGTCATGGGACGAAATGGTGCGGTAGAAAAACTAAAAAAAAAATATAAACTTAAATTCAAAAAAAGAACTTACCTAGCGTCAAGAAATATGAGTCTCATGTCCAGCGATGCTCGGAACATGAACATGTTGGAGTGGAGTTTGAGTTCGGTGACAGCAGATGGCGGCAGTGAGTGTCCCACAGCGATCAAACCTAGATGTGCTGTTGCCTCGCCGAATCTACGAGCTCTCAGGTAGCCTGAACAGTGGATGACCTGAGAAGATAGTTTTCTATTTCTTATCATTCCTTCAACATGACAAATAGTAAATTTTTAATTTAAAAAAATCTGTTGTTAAATTGTAAAGTAGAAATTTAAACCAAAATAAAATGAAAGAATTACAAAATCTCTACATAGTATAAAACAAAGTCGCATCCCGTGATCTGTACGCTTATATCTTATAAACTACGTAATGTATTTTGTTGCGGTTTTTTTCAGTAGACAAAATAATGTAATAGGAAGGTTTATTTGTATAATACATGCATATTAATATTATATAATTTTTCTGTCCGTGTGTATGTGACTAAACTTCTCCTAATTGGCTGGGTGATCCAGCCAGTCGATTTAAGACTCAAAATGTAGATGCGTTGTCACTCGTGAGGACTTAGTGTGTAGATGGAAAGCCTTCGCTTCTCCCTTCTCGTCGCTCTCTCTGCGTGGTAGAGCCATGCTGCAGCTATGTTATGGTTGTAGCACAAATAGATTGGCTGTGTGTGTTGAGAACCGGAGACCCATTTTACTTGAAACGAGGCATTTCATCTTAGTCTTCGGGGGTGACAACACATATTAATTTTGATTCCTAATCGAGGGTGTCTATTGGTGACAGCATCCACTACCATATGTGTGTCCGTTTGTATGTTCGTTTGTCACCTTTATTCTATAAAAAAAAATACTGGTATTTCAAACTGGTATACTGTTATTCAACTGGTATATTATCTGATATCCCTTTCACTCCATTCGTGCTGTCTCTTTTACATGCGTCCTGTAATTATTTACCTTATATCCGGACGTGGTGAGTCCCGCGTTTCTCTTTGCGAGTACGCACTTCATCCGTATGAAGAAGGCGCGCTCACATTCCACGTCCACTGTGGGGCCCCACGTGCCGCCCACTGGATATCTGAGTTCACCATTGAAGTTAAATGAAAACTCTTTTTTTCTATAGTAAGAAAATAAAATTTCGACAACATGACCAGATTTCGAAAGATAATTTTTAATTCTTGGCCGACTCCATAAAATGGAGGAGGATTTCAATTAAAGTATATTATGTTCTTTTTGTACATATCGACAGCGAAGCGAAGATGTAGTGCTCTATTGTCATCAAATCAAAAAATCGTGATCCACTCAACTTAAATCACTTCCACCAGCTTCATATTGCACTTATATAATAAAAAAAAGTACACCAAGAGATTTCAATAAATACTTCTGACGTAGTTATAAGACTATTTATTTCGATTATTGTTAAAAAAAACGTTAATTAAAAATAATTTCACTTGATCGTCAGTTGGTCTATGTGGATGTGAACAAGATATCTTTCGAAAAACTGAACTTATCATTTTGATTTTTTTATTAGCTTCAGAGTTTTATCTTTAGAAAACCTTTTGAAATTTACTATTGTAAACCGTCCTATTCGAGGTGTGCACTTTTGGATTTTCCAATATTTTTGTATAATATGCATGTTACTCGATATCTTAGTCAATTATGGACCGATTTGAATGATTCGATAAATGATTTTTTTATAAAGTAAGTTATAATTTAGGGATGGTCCCATACAAATTTGGAGATAAAGTTCCACCTTTAATGGGGAAAAATAGGAATAAAGTTTTTAATGTAATTATTTAGCCGATATTCGAACTTTTGATTCCCTTAGTCTACTTAAAAGGGTAAAAAATAGACTTCAACTTCATGGAACTATCATGAAATAATTTAAAATTAAAAATTTTGTACAACCGACTTCAATATAAATTATTAAGAATAACTCAAAAACTATTAGTCAGACCTTGATCAATTTCAAAATTTATATGGGACCACATGTGAAGCACCAGTTTTCATATAAAAAAGAAAAATATTTACATGGTTCACCCAGTAAAAGTTATGGAGTGACACACATAAAAAAACAGTCGATTTGAGTACCGTCTCCTTTTTTAAAGTCGGTAGAAAAATATTTCCGCACAATAGCTTCAGAGGTCGGGCCTTTACAATATCTTAATCACCGACTTTTAAAGCTAACACGCGGAAATATTTTTTTTTCATTTGAAGTCGGCTTTTACTTTTTTTTTAAATAAATATTTGCTCCTTCTAGTATTCGAATTTTGTAATACTTCATACAAGGAGTATCGTAAATTCACGTTAAGTGGTGATCGATAAAACATTATTTCAAATATTAAAATGCGATAGGTATAAAAATTAAACATTTAAAATAAATAAAAACAGACTTCATAAAATTAAATAGAATATATATAATCTTTGAAATCGATTGACGTGGTAAAAAGTTATCGCAGAACATACACATATGAAAAAAAATAACAAATCGAATTGGGATCGTCCTTTTTTCAAGTGGGTAGAAAATTAAAAAAATTAAAATGCTCACCCCAAGCTTGAATATTGGTGTCCTAAATAAGAGTGCGGATGCTGCAGGCTTAGAACAGCGCTCATCTCCTCGTGGTCCGCTTGGTGAATGTACTCGTATATTGAGTTACCAGTCAACTCTACCTGCGGAATAAGTAGAGTTAATCTTTAATATCTTTAATGTTCCGTGTCTTAATGTTCCGTATCTTTAATGTTCCTTATCTAAATTAGCAAAGCGGAACATTCAGAGACTTCGGTGTCCGTACGTCTACCGCAGGTGATTATATGATGATTTAATTGAAGACATAAATTAGGTGTTAATTTCAATAGGTTCGAATGGAGGATCGGAGATCCTTTTACCTGGTAATATTGCATTCTATTTTTTTATATGATAAGGGTGACAAGCGAGCACACAATCCACCTGATAGTAAGTGGTTGCCGTGGCCCATAGACATATACATCTATTCTCGATGACGAATCGAAATGCAGATACGTTGTCACCCGTGAGGACTAAGATGGAATGCCTCGTTTCCAGTAAAAAGGGTCTCCGGTTCTCTACACTCACCATACGAAACACAGCAACTTTATGCTGCCATTTTTTGATGTTTTGACGGCTCCGTGGCGCAGTGGCTTAGCAATGAGTTGCTGCGCTGGGGGGCGCGGGTTCGAATTCCGCACGGAACAAGTATTTGTATGGCCTACAAATGATTGTTCCGGGTCTGGATGTTTGTCCTTGTGAAATTTGTGTTTGTAAACTGCCTCCACGATACAGGAGAAAATCCTAGTAACGTTTTTTAAAAAAAGATAAAAAAAAGATTAAAGATTAAAAGATTAAAGATTTTACGCTGGTATTCTGTGAGAGCCTGGTCCCTCCCCGGTCAAGCCGACCCATTCATGCTACAACTATACCAGTAATATAGCTGCAGCGTAGCTCTACCACGTAAAGTTTTTATTGTTTAGGTATATGTGTTTTAGTCCTTATGGGTAGCATCTACATTTTGTTTTTTCTCCTGGATAGATATAGTTGCCTATTGGCCACAGCGTCCACTTAATATCAGCGAACTGTGTCTCCCTTATTCCATAAACATGCGAATTGGTGTATGGAAAACAATACTCACGGAACACAAGCGTAAATACGAAACACCGGAACCGGAGACATCTTAGTTATTTTTGGTGGTAGGACTTCTATTTTGCCTAGAAGTCGCCTGAGTAGGTACGAGGTATCGTGAGATAAAGCTTGATGTGTCTATTATTTTCTATTGTTAGTTTTTCCCAACTAACAAAATATCTTTCATTAAAAAAGTTAAGTTTGGACGTAATATTTATGTTTATAATATAAGATGAGGAACGAGTTAACTAGGTACTGCAAGCTAGAGACAACTCCAGATAACTTAAAACAAAAAAGGTAACATGTGATGCACTTAACCCTGACGGTCTTAGAAATACCAACTACCGTAATTATATTTTTTATAGTATAGGGTGACAAACGAGCACACAGTCCACCTGAAAATAAGTGGATACTGTGACAATTAGACATCTACATCTATCTTGATTAAGAATCAAAATGCAGTTGCGTTGTCACTCCTGAGGACTAAGATGGAATGCCTCGTTTGTAGTAAAAAGGGTCTCCAATTCTCTACACTCATCATACGAAACGTAGCTACATCAAGCTGCTATTTTACCCTAGTATTCTGTGAGAGCGTGGTCCTACCCCAGTCGAGCCGACTCATTTGTGCTACAACCATAATATAGCTGCAGCACGGCTCTACCACGTAATAAACCATATACTGGTTCTTTTGCCCTTTAAACCGGCAGTGGGCGCACAGCTGCTTGGCCACAGAAATAGGATAAGTACCAGACTAGTAATGACGTCTGAGTAGGTGAGGTAGGTTCTTACCTTTTTCCGATACCTATTTGGTACTGTTCTGTTCCAGTTTGAAGGCAATAGAGAGCCAGTACAATTTCAGGCTGTGAAGCATTGAAACTTAGTCCTTATGAGTATGAACACTTCCGTAGCCTTTTTTGTTTAAAATAATGTTTGCTGTGTCCATGCTCTGCAGGCCACTTACCATCAGGTGGACTGTGAGTTTGTTTGTCACTTCAGTTTTATAAAAAATAGACCTTAAGGGCATCGATCACTAATAAAAAACTAGATAAATAATCCCACGCAAAAGTTCTGTAAAAACTGACGTCAATTATTTTGACGTAATTCTAGTTGAAATAAATATAAGTATATTAATGTAAATCCAACCTTAAACGCATTGTCTAAAGTTGTATCCACAAAGCTACGTATAAATTAAAAGCGCACCCAAATGTTCGAGTGGGCGTTCATTCGGTAAGGACATTTTTTGTCACTGATTGTGTATCTAGTTTTTTATTAGTGATCGATACTTAATGGTGGCAATTTTTGTATTTTGGTTTTTAATCGTTAATGTAGGATCTATGGACCTTATATCCACTTACCATCAGGTGGACTGTTTGTTTGTCATTTTCACTATAAAAAAAAAATCAGTAGTGTCTTAAACACGCAATTCAAGAAATAATTTCTGTTCTGTCCATACAAACATCACAAGGATCGTTTAAAAAAAATAAAAAATCAATTTTGTACGTGGTAGAGCCATGCTGCAGCTATATTAATTGTATAGTTGTAGCACGAATGGGTCGGCTCGATCGGGGAAGTACCACGCTCTCACAGAATACCAGCGTAAAATGTTGCTGTGTTTCGTATGTTGTATGAGTGTAGAGAAGCGGAGCCCCTTTTTATTGGAAAAAAGGCGTTCCATGTCGGTCCGGTCACGGCTTACAACGCATCTGCATTTTGAGGATAGATGTAGGTCCATCAGGTGGACTGTGTGCTCGTTTGTCACCCTTATCCTATAAAAACAATCAAAAATTATTACACTTGAAAAATGTTAGCCTGATCAACTCTTATAAATAATTTAATTACCTACATACGTTTCACAAACCTGACTGAGTCCAAGATGCACCGATGCGGTCTCACTGATGTACATGATCTTCCCATCCGGTGCCACGACGAAGATGAATCCGTCCAAGGTTTGAAGAAGATGCGAGCCCAGCTCCCTGATAGAGAGCTCGCGCGGTTGTGGAGGTGGTGGTGCTGCTCCCCAAGCGTCTCCGAGACCTATGTAAATGAGAGATACGTTTAAATATAGGATCGTGAGATGTGTGTTTACGAAATAATGAAATTAGTTTCTACGGAGTTTATCGCATTTTATTAGCTTTTTCACATTCCCGACGTTTCGAGTACTTTACAGGATCCATGATACTGAGGTGTTTGACGTCCTATCTCATAGTTAACCACGGCTAGCTTCAGTTTAAAGCTATATATTTTTTAAATTAATAATTTTAAACTGATGAGTGACCATGAGTGCTAAAGTAGGTAGTTCCTCGAAATGTCTTAAATATATATTTTTTTAAAACGGGATAAAATTGGTAACAAGTGGTTAAATAAAAAATTTGGCACA